TAATTTATAGCACTGTGGGGCAACAAAGGCTGAATCTTGGTAGTAATCCAACCTTTTAGGTTGATAATGGCTTTAACACTGACCTAATATTGAAAGGTGAACATGTATAGAGGCCATCAGACCTAATTATAAATAGGACAACAGGGATTAAACACATCACTAGTCTGTATCAGTGAAAACAAAACTTTCCTTGAGAGCAAAGGGCACAGATCTTGTCACAAGATTACGAAGAGTTTTGTTGCTGACTTTGACACAAAAAATAATCAAGAACGTTGTTTTAAACAAAGATATTAACACACTTCCCACCCTCCCAAAATTTAATTTTTGTTATAAAAGGAACAAAATATAGAATAGCTAAAGTTAATCTGGGTACCTATTATTTAACTCAATTTGAAGGTAGGAACTAGTAGGAACAAGCATATTTTTATGAAGAAAAAGCAAGCCTTCAAAATCTCTGTGGAAATCTGTTAAGACGATGACATTAGTACCCTCACATCGTTCCTCTCCATAGCTTGCTGATGCATGATAGTGAACACAACTAGTTTCTGCTACAGATCATGGTCCTCAGCACTTTGCTGAGCACTCAGCAAACCTCACAATCGGACCTCTGGGTAGGAGGGTACACAACCAACTACAAAACACGTTTAACTCAAGTAAGAGTAACTTCTTATGAAAGGCAGCACAATACCATTTCCTGGTTTAAAAAGCCTTCTCATCACCAAAATATGCTTTAGTATTGCTTATATGTATTTTCTAATTCAATCTTTTGTGCAGTATCTAGAAATACAGTACAGCGGTAATAACGTAATTAGTATTTTCACTAGCTAAATTATAGAGGTGACTACAGAATACAGCATAGTAGCATCAATATTAACAGTTAAGTATTATACAAAAATGACACAAATAGTTTTAGTATAGTCATGAGAGACACTGTAATTTCCTCTTTCTCCAAGATCCCTTCAAATTGTGTCAGATGAGGAAACTCACAAAATCCACTGGAGTTCAACTCAAATTCTAAAAATCAGCATCTTGAAGATTTCTTAAGTAAATTTTTGTAGGTTCTTGAACAATATTCCGTTCTGAATATGGTATTAGTTATAAAGAACTTAAGTTCTGCTGCATCGACCTCTCATATGAATTTAATTTTCCCAGCACTCTGCAAGTTAACAAAGGAGTATAACAGATACTTCACAGCTGAAGATGATGATACATAGGGATTTGTAGTAATTATCCAAGACCATAAAAGCAATCCTATGTCAGTACAAGAAGTGGAACCACTGGCTTTGCAGTCTAGCACTACTCCCTATCTTTTTTTCTACCCTGGTCACATAGTGACATCCAGAAGTCTAACAACAAAGACACTGGACACTAAACAGCCATTAAGGAAGATACTGAGGCAAGCATGCTTTCACAGATTCCTCACCTGAAGGGACAATAATCAGCCACCCCTACATGCCCCAAAATCACCGAACTCCAATTTACACCAGAAGCTGAAGGCTATCCCATGGCATCCTCCATGCCCAAAACTCCCTTTTGGCCAAGCTAATTCACAACCCCCTTAGAACTCACCAAGAACACTGAGGATCTACCCACACTCCATCCACTTTCTAATTACAGTAACTTTATGTTTTACTTCACAAAATGAGATTCATTTCTTCCTTCACCAGTTCCATTCAGCTCCTTCAACAGTTTGTTCGTTTGTTTGTTAAGATGCAGATCTCCAGCAGATTGATCACTTCAGATGAGACAAAGCAATCCCTTGGTAAATCCCTCTGGAAATGCAGAACATATTATATGCACAAGAGTTGAACTCCTTGAATTTCCCCTTTTCATATGCTCTTGGTTTCCAGTCATTCAGATAAAGAATGGAGCTTTTGTAGGCCAGTTAATCCATCCACTGAATGAAATATGGTAAAGTTTTACACATCCACATGTTCTTTCAAGGCCCTGGTTTACATCTGTAGATGTAATAATAGCTGTAGTAATGTAGACAAAAATCATGGCTCGGGCCCCCAGAGAAGATCTTTAAAGACTTGGGTTGAAAAGTCCCAATGCTGCACTCAAAGGAACTGGCAAAATGATTTAAGGGCTGTCTCCGCTTACATTTATTTCTGCCAAAGCACTGGCTTAATTTTCTTTGTGTGTCTTAATAAGCCACCTCTGTGAGAGGGACTCTTACTTGAAATGCTTGTATGTCCTAAGCTCAGAAGTAGGCACTGTTGAGTGGTAAGCTGAGACAAACATCCAAGGTGGTGTCAGGCCCAAGCTGCAAAATGAGCCTGTTCTTCATCTTCTCTAGCATCAGTCACAAACTAGCATGAAAACAGCATTTACACAATGAATTAAAATGCAAATCTACACTTTATTCTATGTAATCGAGGCAAATGATACACTCTTGAAGCCTGCCAGAGTAGCAATTACAAACATTAATATAGCTTTAGATGATGACTTAAGCCAAATAAGAGGATGGAATAGAAATGCTGTACATCGGAACTCGTGAAACACTACAGGAAAAGAGCAACTCTTACCCTAGTAATGTAAGCCTAAAATACAAATTAGTGATAATTCTGCTGTAAAGGGCTAGGATCTGCACTGTGCAGACACGTACCTCCTGAGAAACCTCCAGCCAGAAGCTATATGTACAATGCAGGGAAGCAGCCTGCCAGCAAAGGAGAGCTGAGGGGGTCTCAAAGTATGCGGGAGGGGACTTTGCGCTGCCACAGCCTAATGGGATGTGGCATCGTCCAGGAGAGTCCTGCAACAAAAGGCCAAACAGCCACTGGCTTAGGACAGAACTGCCTAGCTGGTGTAAAGATGTATTTTTGCTAGGTCTGATTTAGATTGTGCTCTGCACAATCAGATCGCTTTGAAGGTTTGCCTTGTGCAATCATTTCCTTTGTCAGGAATCAGAAAAAGACTGTGAAAAGACTGTGAACAAATTGTTTAGGCATTGAAATTTAACCCTGTGGAATCCTTACAGTGTAGCACAGTGCGACACAGCAGGAGCACATTTGTCAGGGGACTGAAGCCTCTTTGCTCTCTCCGTACAAAACATATACATTAGCATTGTGTGGTGTGGGTGTGCTCCCAAGCACATGATGCAGCTATGGGTACGCAGCTCCATGCCTACCCTGCCTCCCATCTGCACTGCAACTGCATTGAGCCCTCTGCACCATTTCTGTTCTGCTAGGGAAAATAAAGGTTTCAGATCCTTCAAGACTGTCTGGAAGCCCTTCCGTTACATATTCTTTTAGAGATTGTACAAGATTTTATTTTTAAATATCCATAATGCATGTGAGAAAATTATTGAGTATTACAACAATCTTTTTAATAGACCTAATGTTTTTCCACTAGTGTCCTAGCATTAATAATGTCAGAATATAAACACCAAAAACAAAAAGGCATTTGGTAGAAACTAGTCAGTTCCAAGACTTTTCACTCTGATGTGGGCTAACCCAGCTGGTGTGGCTTCTATACCGGTATTCATGACACCAATGGTTTCCATCTCAGTCAGGCTGTCTATCCCCTGCTCCTTCTGAAGAGCAGAGTCTGAGAGCACCAAATACCTCACAGTGGGAGCACAGCCCTCTGTAGAATTAAACCTTAACACAAGATAGCCCTTCAATGTTTTTGTAAACTGTTGAAACATATGCTGACAAGAATAAAAGAAAATAGTCATTTGGAATTTGGCAGAGAAAAGCCACTCTAAATCATTTCCAACTGCAATAAGTCTTTGCTCCTGTTTTACGAGTAATAGGAGAGACTATTCCTGTTTTATAAACTCATTCAGTTAATATGTTTAAGAAAGTAGACAAGTTTCTCTCCTGCAGGGGTCTTCAAAAATTGTCTTTCCTTGTGGCTGCCAGTATTTCAACATCCCATTCCAGAAACACCGTTTATTACTTTTTAGGAAAAAAACCAACAACAACAAACCACAAAAAACTGCTGCATAGTAAAACAAAAATGGTTAGAACAACAAAAAATGGTAAAAGACAGTTACATATTAGGGAATATTAAAGGGTTGTATGCTGCTCCCTGCTGCTACAGTATACCAGAGCATTAATCAGAATGTAAAATTCTTTTCACTCTACATAAGAAGGCAAAAATATTTCAAGGATGTTCTACAGACACACAAGAGGTCATACCTCCAATAACCTCCACATCGATGTGATCTGCAACTTCAAGACTAAGTTCCAAGTGCGCTTCAACTCAATTCTGCAGCAATTTCAGCTCTTGAAGAATAAGTACTGAGCAGCCTTGGTCCCATCACTCCAATCAGTGGGACTCAAGTGTCCTCTGGTTTCCTCTGAATGTGCTCAGAACTTTGCTAACAGTGTTCCTGCAGCCAAGTAATTCTCCTCTCTTCTGAGCCACACAAATTTGCTGCTGACTCAAATGGAGCCAAACCTCCCAGCGTCCTTCCCTTTGTGCCCATGGAAATTCTAAGTTCACTCTGTCCTTTCCAAGAGGAACAACAATGCACACACCAAACAGTGTATTGCTCCTTCCCTCCACAGTGAATCCTGCCTTAATTAGGAAGACTTTTGCAGAAGATGTGTTATCTACCATGCCAGGACCACCACACTATCATATCATGCAGAATTCAGCCCTTTTATCATCATCAGAAATGATTATTTCTTTATTTAACAGCTACTAACGTGTTTGGAGATGCAAAATCACATCACTTTACTTTCTGAAAGGTAGCAGTAGGAGATATCTCAGTGCAGAATGGATTCCATAATTAGAAAAAAGCACAGGGGCCAGCTTTTTCCCCCTCATCGAGCTTGGGAAGCTCTAAACAATATGCAAAAGCAAAAGGGGAAAATGGCTACAGTACTGAGAATGGTAAAATTTGAATGAGATAATAACAAACCTTTCTTGTGGAAGGAAAAGGAAATGACTGATTCTAAAAAAGCTTCTGTGATAAATCATCACCCCTGCGTGAAATTCCATTCATATATGCTACAATATCTGGTAGTAATGTTAGAGAAAAAACAAAAAGGACAAAAACTTATCAAACAAGTTTATAAAGAACAAAATATAGCTTGCTGGAATTGCTGAGCTCTTTCAGTAGTTCAAACAGTAGAAGGAGATTTCAGAATCAAACAAGAGTTTCAACAGCTGTATTCGTATTATAGTCATAAAGGCATAAATGTGAAATACAGCTCTAATAAAAAAATGAAGTTTATAAAACTGGATGGTAATTTTCCACCCTTTCCAGAAGTATCTCAGAATATCCAGGGGAATAATACCTGAAAGAGAAACATTTTGTTTGTGCATTAGACTACAAGGCATGTTCTGTGCTAAGTAATGAAACACTATTCATATTTCTATTGATCAGGAAAAAATCCTAGCATTAAACACTGGTCAAGGAATTCTACAGTTATTCCCCTACAATGTTTTAAAAGCCTGCTTTTCAACTTATGTTATCATTTATACTTAAAAGTCAGGTTTTCAAAAATATGTTTAGCTTCTTTTAGGGCATGTAAGTAAGTGGCTAGTTTTTAGATAAGTTCAGCAGTCATAAGCATTGTCTTTACTGAGAAATGTAGATGTTAACTTCTTTTGAAATTATGGCCTTTAATAAAAAAGCATGAGTTTACACAGAACCATAGGCTGCCAGACAACAATAGTCTACAGCTGTTCATCAAACATAGGCACACACCCCAAAGCTAATGTGAAGTCTACATCAATGTGAGAGACATTGATTCTGGAACAAAAAAAATTATCACAATGACCTTCTGTCTCTAATGCCAACTCAAGGACAGAGATTATCCAATAGGTTTTCATTAGAGTAGGACTCTATGGTGCCATTATTGTCCTGCTGTCATTCAGTTGGTTTTCCACAATGGACCAACTACATGCTTCCAATATGCAAGCATCACCAAAGCTGCATTTAGTTCTTGTTTTCCAGGTCAAGAGTATCTAAAATATATTACTGTGTTATTCTAAAAACATACATCTCAGTATATTTCTGGTTTTGCAGGCATGTAAATTGTCATCTCTGAGCCCTGTAAGCTTTAACTATAGAGAAGAACATACTTCCATGTAATGCATGCCTAATATGTATTCAAGTAGAAATCCCCAACGTTTTCACACCGAAGGAAGAACCATTTACCTTGTTGATTTTCATTTTCTGGATGATTTCTGTATAATGTAACCCTTTTTAAAACTCATATTATTTCTCTCATTGTAAAGCTAACTTTTCAATGCATTATTATATTCAGTCTGCAAACAGCCTAAAATAACAGGTCTCCAGGACAAACCCAGAGCTGGAGTCTATTATAGCAGCTGTGCCTCAGGCAGCACAACCAACATCAGGCAGTAGCACAAAGAGGCAAGCAGGAGATGCTCGAAGGGGCCCTTTTCTTTATTACATCCCAGTCTACATGAGTAACCTTTTTTTATGGGGGGGGGGGGGGGGAATAGCTGTAACAAAGAAACAATAATTATATCCAGAAAAGCATAAGCAAATGTCCTCTTTCCCTCTGAAGTATTAGCTGCAGAATGAAGTTTCTTTATGATTTTGCTTTTACCCATTTGCCAGCCACTGGCTTTTCCTTGTGGAGACATACAGGGCTTCATTTTGTGTGACTTAGTTTGTAGCTACTATTAGCTGAAGAACTCTGTTGCTATAATTAAAATTGATGATGCAAATTTTCAGAGCCTGTAGAGGGAGCGCATGAGTGCAACATCCTTTTGATGTGTTGATGGAGTGAAGGACTGGTAAATGGATATCTAGAATCTAGGAGGGCATTTCTCTCATTATTACAATTTAGGATGGTGACATTTTGACTGTAAGCTATTTAATAGTGTTTCTGTATTCATTAAGGGCAAAGTTCAACTTGGTGCAGACAGCTGGTGTATGGTCCTTTTATATAACACTTAAGCCTCATGATGAGGCTGGGGGAGGAAGGGCAGCTGTGGGCAGAGCAACTGTGCAGGAGAGCTTCTGGACCCTCTGTACATCAGAGGAAGTTTCAAAGGAGCTTCTGAATACACTAGTTCAGACAGGCTCTTAGGGAAGTCAAGGATGCAACCAAAGATTCACCAATACATGTATTTTGGAGCCTGAGTAATCCATAAATAAGTTACCAAGATAAACTAAACTTCCCACAGACATTCATTAATATGAGAGCGGTTGTGCTGAAGCCTCAGAGTCTGTCTGGGTAGTGCAGGACCGACTGTTCTTCCCAGCTTCCTGCAAGAGCCTGATTATTTGGGCTTTGTTTACAAAGAAATTTGATTCCAAAAACAATCAGAAAAGAGAAGGTGGTCAAAGGTACGTGTCTAGCGGTTGTGTTACCACTGGGGCAGTTAACCAAATGTTATGCTGTTTTATTAAAAACAAAATTCATGTAGAAGTTAAATTAATATTTTAAATTCTTGCTTTGCATTGTTCCTGTGAAAAACATCTAACAATGTTCTAAGGATGAATTTTTTAAATTTCATTTTCCCTACCTTACTATTTCCTCTGGATAGCAATTGTTAATAGTGTTGATATATTCCTGAAGAAGTGACCCAGGTTCTGCTTTTATTTCTTGAACCTTTTTAAGTCCACCAGTTGTTACAAAGAGACGACGTGCTTTACTGTCATGTGGTAACACCTACACACAGAAAAGTACATTAAAAAAAAATTCTTTTAAAGGAATCTGTATGCTATTAGGTTCAAATATTGCTTATCTGTTTTTAATTCAGAGGACAGATAAAATGGAACATCAGAGGTACAACATCTGTAATGACTACTGTATTTTAACACCCAGTTGCACAGGAAAAAATCATAAACCAGCCCTTTATGGTTATAACATAATTTAAATTGTGCTTTAATACATAACATATATAAAAATAATGAATTGAATATTTATCTTTACATAAATAATATTTCTTGAATTATTCCTATGGAGACAATAAGATTGTGGAGATTAAAGAGATAATAAAAACAGAACACTAACATGGAATAACAGAAGCTTCTGTTCCACTTAAACCAAGTTATTCAGGTCTTTTATGTCAATTCCCACAGTTTAATTGTAGAGCGGAATTTTATATCATTATAATGATCTAGTATAGATTAGTGCATGAAAACAATACTGAGAATTGTTGCAAGTGAACAATGCAGCCTTGAAGCATTACATGCTACTATTAAATTCCTAGATATTAAAATCTTACAACACACTGTGTAGCCATGGAAGCCTTTTACACACACACACACACACAAAAAGCAAAAATGTGAAGTTTCTGCAGCCAAAGGGGATGAGAAGCAGAAATGATCAGACAATACATTCTGTGCTCCCTGAGTGATGCCGATATGCAGCTCTGTCCAGAAGACAGGAGGGAGGGAGGGCAGTGGGGGCTGGGCCAGGCGAGGGAGAATGACAGCATGTAGTCCATAGGCCCAAGGGCTGCAATAATATTAAAAAAAAAAAAAAGGGGGGGGGGGGTCGCACATAATGCAAGACATCAGCTGCATCTACAACAAAACCAGATAGGTTCAAAACCAACTCTGAGAGTTACATACTGTGGGGGCAAAAGCATTTTGTAAGCCTTCACACTGGTCACACAAATCAAGCCATAAATTTGACTGTATCTCAGTGTAAAACAAGAGCCTCAAAGGAGGAAGGGACTGCCTAAAAGGATGAAGGAAAAGAAAGACGAGATTTCTGCCATGCATATAGGCAAACAGCCTTCATTTCTCTGGTCCCTCTATGCTGTACAAAATCAATAGACAGGTAAAGAAAAAACAGGGGAGCATAGAGACTTCTCCCTCTTATATGCTCCATAGAAGTGTCAGGAACAACTGTGAACATTTCGTTGTGGGAACTGAAAAGACGGCTGTTTCCACCTATCTCCCACAACAAGAACTGCCAAGGAGGAACTAGCAAGGAGACAGGATATGGCCCTTTCCCTGCCTTCCTCCTCCACACTGTGACTCCCAGGCTGGATAAGACAGCAGAAAGCTCTCTTGGAAGAGGCCCTAAAGACAGACGGCACCTCTGAGACACAGTCCCTTCCCCCAGTCCAAACTGAGACAGCACAGAATTGCACAGACCCTGAAAACGATAATGCTAAAATGACACAGTCCAGCACCAAGAATGGACAGCATCCTGCTCTGAAGCATAGCTCGGAAATAAGGCTTTTACTGTGCTATAAATAAGCCCACAGAAGTAATACACCACAGCTCTAAGAATAGGAAATTCCCAAATTATGATACAGGAGAGAAAAATGCTTTTACTGCAGAGAACTTAATTTTAAATGTATAGTTCAGAAGACCAAATGCCAGACAAGTATAGTTTGTTTGTAGAAGAAGAAAAATGAAAAAAACCATCAGCTGATATGAAGGGTACAAAACCACTTCAACAGCAAACAACATTCAAATCTATACACTGGGTAACCAGTTACTATGCACTCAGCTCATTAATAGCTCCAGTCAGCACACAGAAGCAAAAGGCACTGGATTCTGTGCAAATCTCCAATCTTTGTATAGTCTTCGCAAGAAGACAGGACAAACCTAAGTGTGGCAATGTAATCAGGAATCTGCAATACAAACAGTAGTGCTTCCAGATCTGTGATAATCAGAACTGAATATCAAGCATGTTTTACTTGGCCATTTCCAGAAAGAACACCTCACCAAGAGAGCCTGGTACCCCCTGCTAACAGATTACACAGCAGAGTATTGCACTAAAGATAGTCTATAACTGAGCAGGATTCCCAACAGCTGGTGAATATCGCAGACACTGGAAATCTCCTGATTAGTTAGCAATTACTTAAATAATTTTAAATATTTTGATTAATTTGTATCACTTTTTACATGCTGCACTCAAATCAACAATGTAATTAATAACAAACAGTTTCAAATTTTGAGAGGCAAGAGAAAAGATTTGGGATTTTTACACTTACTTAATTGAGACTGAAAATTAATGAGGATAAAAGTGGTGAAGGCTTTATACTCTAGATTATTGTAAAATACCTGACTTAAGTTACTCCTGTACAGACAGCTTGTACTTTATCTAAAACAGATGTGGTTAGGATTTATGTGATACATTGGCTCAGTGAAAATATTTGCACGTGAGTTAATATTCCACTCAATCTCAAGAGGCAAGGAAGAAAAAAACACCTTGCTTATAAGCAACTGTTTTCCCAGTCTTAGGATGAATTATGGCAGGTTCCAGATGAAACAGTATCCAGCTTTATCGGACGAAAGAACGGGATGCTTCAAACTGCTTCTGCAGGGGATGCTTGAGGATTCTGAGAAAACAACTGGGACCTTTAGAGAGATTTCATCTTTGGAAAGATAGCTTCCTTGCTAAATGGAAAACAATTAACATTACTTATCAAGGAGAGCCTTTTCTTACCTTACTAAACTGCCCAACAATGTGTTTCATAATATTGGGAGGGGCATCATGCAGCAATGGTTCAAGTGCTGGAAGATACGTGCATTTCTGAAGGATGTTCTTTAAGGCTTTTTTAGTCTATTGAAATGCAAAATAAAATTTCTCTAGTGAGACATCAATGAAAACAACAAGAATTCATGTTACATATCACTGAAGTCTGATCAAAAAAGCAAATTGATCAGAATACTCAAAGAGCATTTTCTGAACAAAAACTATGATATCTATCAGGTCACTTAATGAAGAATCAATTTTCTACTTAAATTTATTAAACCTCAGAACCTACAGTGCATCATATTCTTATTATATTATCTACTGTCAAAGTAATGGCAATTTTCTTTTGACTACAATGGAAGCAGGAGTAGACCCTTTAAGTAAATTGAAGTACTGTAATATAATAAGAAAGCTAAGTCAAAACACATTTTAAAAGATTGTATTTTAGAAGTGGCTTACTAGGAGAGTCTGCTGGTCTGGGATAGCAAAGTGCATTACCATCCAGGCAGAGGGGGAAAGAGAGAGTGTAACAGTTGTACATCAGTGCTTAGTTTCTGAAAACAGACTTAATGTTGACTGCTACAAGCAGTAATGACCTTCTTGGGTAGGATTATAGGTACAGCTAATTTGGCCTTGATATTTTGGTACCACTGAAAATGACTATACAAAAGTTATTTTACAGATCTGGAATGTTATACTTCAGTGGAATGTACAGAAGCATAGTACAACATGGGAGACCATATCCTGTCATACTATACTCTTCAGCTGGTTCACTTACTGTTGCTCAAAAATACACTTTACCAAACTACAACTCCTTTAGCTCCCACACAAGGAAGGCCTTAAACATGAACAGTTGCATGTTTTCAAGAGCAGAGCTTTGAGTATTTGTTACAGTTTTATTATAATAATAAAAATGTAAGCAAACCTACTACAAGGACAAGCTTACACTTTAAAAAAAATAGATCATTAGAAATTAGTCACTCACAAGAAATTACAGCATTTATGGATGTATGCAACTCTGTTCTAAACTGGGAAGAAAGTGAGGGACTAGACTGCTGTGGCTGTACTATATGATTTGGTATGCACCATATGCACACCCGTTAGGACCAGCCTGTCCTAATAAATGACACACAGCCTTCAGACACCCTACACCCAGGAAATCTGTGACTTGATGAACATCAATAAAAGCACATACCATTTAGTAGGTTTTAAGCACTTATACCTGTTGATTACAATAAATATCTCATACTGCAGATACTACAAATATACTTGCTTTCATTTGAAGATCTTCTGAACTGCGTGTGTCCATATACATAGCAAGCAGTGTGGGTAGTATGTTTGTTACTGCAACAGCTCGTGCATGCTCAGGAGTATGTCTTCCAACCTGTCCCAAGGCCCAAGCAGCTGCTGCCTTAATATGATCTTCATGTTCTTCTATCAAGCAGGCACACAGTGGTGGTATTCCCTGTAGCATTAATCAAAAGCACAACCTTTACAAACCTATACCAGGGAAGGACAACTTGAAACTGATACAGATTGTTAGAAAATGTTTCTCTATTTACAGTCTTCTTCTAAAATAAGCTATAAGAGAACACATGCTAGTAGTGTCATATTTTTACAACTTCATGACTAGCAAGGATTTTTAATAAATCTTAATAAATCCAGTTAAAGAAAGAAACAGATTCAATGTTCTAAGTCAGAAGGCAGTTTGAGCTAACACACAAATTTAAGGGATAAAAGGAATACATAACACAATTCAGGCTGTACTAACAGTAAAGGCTTCAGTTTTGTCAGACTGAAAAGGAAAGAATTTGAGTGTTTATGAATCTATCAAAGCAGTTTAAGACCAGAGGGGCTCAATCATTGAGTCTTTTTTTAATCCACAGGACTAAATTTCAACTTACTAACCTCTTCTTGAGTCCAATAGTTCATGTTTGACTCACCCAATAACTTCCAGAAATGTTTCAACTCTTGATTTGAAGACATCAAGAGACAGAGAATACCTCACTCACATCCAGCTGTTATTGAAGTTGTTCTGGTTCAGGGTCACAGTCTTTAATCCTTTCTCCACAGGATTATGGAGCTACTTAGTAGCTGGTATTTTATGCCAGGATACTTCAATAGGAATAATTTCATGCTACTTTAGGTAAGGCAAGGCTACTAAACCTCTAACTAGAACACCTTTTTCTCCATCCCATGGATCATTTTTTAGTCTTTTCTGTACACTCTCCAGATTTTTTTCAAGATCCTTTTCAAATACAGACAACAGAACTATACGCACTATATACAGAATATACTATATACAGTATATACTATAGAATCATAGAATAGAATCATTTACTAGATGCACTATATAACAGAACTATATAGATTAACTTCTCTTTTCCAATAATGCTTCATCTTCCACTCTTTAATACTGCAAAGGACTGAACTGTCTTTTTTTTTTTTGCCACTGCACTGCAGCAGAAGACCACAATGTAGTATTTTTCCAGTATGATCCAAAAAATCATTTTTCAAAATTCATCCTTTCCAGGATACAGTACTGCAGAATGGAGCTATCACTTTCCATCATTACATCATAACATCACAGATGTGTAACTGCATGTGGTTATGCCACGGTGCATTTCTTTCAAATGGTTCCAGTTTACCAAGCCCTGTCCTCAGCACAGTACCATTCCACAAGCTTAGTTTCCCCTGAAGCAATTTTTTAAAAAAAAACAGGGTTTGGGTTTATTTGGGTTTCTTTTGTGGAACATTCATTAAAATATTTAATTTAATGAGAGTTTGCACAGATCCCTACAACATCTCTCACTGCACTCCCACTCAGTTATAGTAGTAACCATTATTACTCTTCAAAAATTTATCATTTAGGTGCTTCCTCATGAACTTAAACCTGGATTCATCCTACTTAATGTCAAGCACTCAACAGCAGGAGCATATTTGCTTGAGGCATCCCTGAAAGTGGAGAGACAGAGACACATCCAGAGAAGAAGGGTCTCCAGAGAGGGCAAGGAAAAATTGTCTATTTCTTTAGTTTTCAAATGCAGAAGAGTATGTTTTTGATCACTGCTACCTTCCCTGCATACTCATTGATGATATATTGTAGCGATTTCCATTTTTTAACTCACATTCCTACTAGAAGACATTTCTGTTCCTCTGTTTTTATTGTTTCATTGTTTCCACTCATACAGTATATTTTAAATGACGGACATAGTGTGAAAATGGGCCAACAATGCTAGTGAAATTACATCCTTCCTCCTGTCATTAGTTAATATTTTGATGTGGATAATGCTATGTCAGGCACTAATTTCACCTATTGTGAATATTGAACATTCTGTCCCTTCTATACCATTGTCCAGCAGAATTTATTTAAACCTGAAAATGTATTGCTTATCTCATTTGAAATGTCACTTGCACAACTGAATCAAACCGTACTACTAAGGTCTTTTCAAGTCTGAATATTTCTGTTGCCAGACTACTCTAGAGGTACTAGCAGAGTCATGCTAGTGCAATGAAGAACGTGCCATTAAACATTCTTGTTTCAAAAAGGGGTTTGATGTAGCCACAAATATTCATTTTAAGAGGAAACAGACCATAGAAATTCACTGACTTATTTTCTGTAACCATGCAATTGCAACACAGAAAAATCATGTGCTGTAATACAAATGGATACTCACAAACTAAACCAGGACATTTTATAAAAGGTTTAACTTCACAGAGACACACTTTGATCAGGTTACCACATAATTTCAGCCATAGCAAGCAGCAATATTTGGAGAAAGTGCATTCGTCAACAGCAAGTATATAATTCTGTCACAAAAAACATTCTCTGCCTATGTTACTTTGTATCTTTCTCAGAATACCACTGAAGAATTATAGGAAGACGACAAAGTGATAGCTAACCTTGGAGACAATCACTGCCATTGACAGGTTCTCCGAATGAGCTGCTACATAACCAAGCATCATGATGCCAGGCAGTCTGACAGTCCCTCTGCAGCTGCCAATACAATCAATCACAGCAGCGACTCCACCTGCATTTACTATAAGCTGTGAAAGCTAAAAAGATAAATGGAAGAGATTAGATACTGTGAGGTATCAACAGGCATAAAGCACTACATTAGAAAAGTCTTTAAATGTATTGCTCCTGATTTACAAAATAAAGCTGGAATAAGAGTGATGTATCATACAGACTGTTGGGCGCTAAGTGCAGCATGAAGTTCTCGGGAATGAAGCTGGTTTGCTACTCTGTTTTTGACTTTACTGCAAGGAAATCGGGACTCTGAATTCTTGATGCTGTATAGCATGGAATGACATACTCTCAACTCCATTAGTATACACCAAAGAAACATGCAAATGACAGCCTAATACATTAATGCCCTTGAAGATGCACCTACTGAGCCAGATACTCTTTCATACTAGTGCCCATTCATTCCCAGGCCATCATCATATGTTCTGTGCAGGGACAGAGGGAAAGGCCCACTCCTCCTCTTACCTGCATTCTAGATAACCTCTGCAGCATAAGCGCCTTGGTGGATCCCCCCCCAGAGGCACAAAGCCAAAACCAACTGTCACGGATGCGCAAAACCGACTTGGACTACGCCATTCTGCCACGTTAGGGTGCTGCGAGGGAGGTGTCCAGGGAACACACTTGATGGGCGATGGAGTTTGCCCCAGAACGCCAAATTATATAGCCTTCCTTACAAGTGATAATCAAGTATGCAACATGTTTCTTTCCAAAAGGTATCACTTCTTACATCACTTGAGGGACAACAATAGAGTATGTATGATATCAACAATGCATAGAAATTAAAATACTTTCATATTATGATTATTTTATTCTATCTTGTTAGGTATATCCCATTTTTCCCAAAGATTCCAAAGCAAATGAAACATGTTCTTAAAAGTCAAAATTAAATGAACAAAACTGAGGCATGTGGATTTCCCATCCAGTTGATTTGTATAAACATGAAATCCACCTTTGCCTTAGAGCCTTTAAAAGGGGATTGTTTCATTCATGAAACAGCTAGGTGGAATTTAAAGTTATTACTTAGGAAAAACTGTTCACACGATTGTGAAATGCAGCCAGTGATGACCAAGCCTACGTCTGGGCACAGCCATCTGCACTTTGGACGCACAGAGCTCCTGCACAGACACGCTCCCCAGTGCTGTGACCCTCAGGCCCCACTGCAAGTCCCCCAGATCCCGACCTTCACATGAATTTTACTGCATATGCAGATAAAGAGCCGAGATCTAAAAGCCACAACACTCACATGACTAACACAGCCATCTCCTCTAGAAATATCGCTTGCCAATCTGTCTCTGCTGCAACATGTGTTGCTTGAATAGAGTTGCTCAGAGATGGACAGAGATCACTGTCACTCTGGAGTCAAATGTGGATTGTGACTTCCCACTGGGACCTACCAAGATAATTCCTACAGCTCCTTTGGAGAGCTGCTAGAATGGCCAATTCCCCTTGCATGGAGGATCCTGTGCTGGCAGCTCTTCTGACTTTACCTGCAGTCTTGTGAGTTTGGCCTCTGGCTTCCGACTCTAGTGCCCCCCTTTGATAATGATAATTTCTTCACTTTTTTGAGAAAGTGAAGTTGCGCTGTTCATGAGGCACAGAGAGGAAACGTGACAAGACTGCGAACTTTAATCACCAGCAGCTTAAAGACTAGCAGGCTGAAGAAACAGCACAATATACATGTTTAAACACTTCTCAATTGTTAATCTAGTATCACGATTTTGAAATGGCTGTGCTCAGCATTAGTGCGTTCCACAAATACATTGCTTGTATTTCATTCCAGAGTCATATTTAGAGCCTTTTAATTATCTCTATGGTCTGACATATTAACATAGTTATAATTATTTGGTTTTCCTATTTGTTTTGTATTGACTTCGCCAAACATCCCCACCTTCCTATATCAATTATTGGCAAAAACACTGCAAATGCTGAGACTAAAATTACAAACTCAAGCTAATAAAAGAAGCTACCATCAGTTTAATAATAAATAAGAGAATTTTGACCTTCATTGTCATTGGAAAAATAATTAAAATGTGATCCCAGCACCCCAGAAGACTTTTTAAAAAGACACTCACCATCTATTATTATTATAGGGTGATCTTGTCATTTATTAGCTAGTATCATGACTTCTGTGATGCTTTTGTCATGGTATTTTTAATACCTAGGACTGACAATACTGTCAGCCTAAAACTCCCTCTCTGTGCAGATATCTTATGGAATGAAGTAGCTAGGTATACATTATATGATTCCCAGTTTTCAAACCCAATTCATATTCAATACACATCTCGTAATATCAGCAAGCATTTCCATATTTTTCCAATGAACATGCCAAACAGCTATTTGCCGTCCCTTTCGAAAAGCAAATGACAGAATAATCCTGTATTTTATTTAAAGTGTAAAATCTAATGATATGACCTTGTATTTGCATTTTCAAGGTTTTTACCTCAGGCGTATGCTTTGCTATCTCTCTAATTAAAGTTGCACCATTTTTCTTGACATATTCATCTGAGTCCTTCAGGCATGTGAGCACAACTGGGAAAATTTCTGCTTCAACCACCAGCTCTGCAAGATCCACTGAATGCTTTGCTATTTGGCTTAGAGCTGACAGCACCTGACGCTAGTAAATAAAAATTGTTATAAAATCAATAGTATACAAACATCCCATAACACACACTCCTCCTGCACACAAAAATCTATTGCATCAAGGAAAACAAAGCAGGATAGGGAAAACAATTACAGCTATTTTACAATTCACTGAGTCAATTCATGCACGAATATAATGGCACAGAACATTCGCTGGTTCCTGAATAAAAGTTTCTCCTTTGTTTTATCCCATTCAAGCTTGCTATGTATTAAAAAAGAAAATATATATATACCATTTAAAACGGTAATTTAAAATTTAGTGAAAAATATAGAAAGTATCTTTATTTGCATAAGTTTGGCCTGTTAGACCTTATATTAAATCACTTCTATCTATTTGTTTGAATTGGCATTTTTGTGTTGTCTTCTGTTTCTGTTAGAGTAAGACAGAAAAACTGTATTAAGAAACAATTTTTTGTCAGTTAAACCCTAGTGATTAAACCTTTGACAACAGCCACTCAAATCAGATAGTACATTCTAAAATACAATAATACATTTAATATTAACTGGTTTATAATATAATCTTAAGTATGCAAAACCTTTTCTGTAACTGAATTGTGCAAATTTTATCTATTAAAAATATCTGTTGCATTCTTCATATACTAAATAATTCTAAAAAACCCTCATACTATCCACTTTAAAGATTAGTTTAGCTGTTCCTCACAGAGCAGCAGTTTTTATCTAGTAGCTAAATCTGTGAATGTGTTCAGAACTCTTTGTCACTAACTATGTAGTTACATTTTGTTAACACACCAAACAAGAGCTTCCTAAATAAATACGCACATCAGTGTCTTTGATTCAATATAAAGTAATGACTGGTATAATGGAGATTAAAAAAAAATAATTTTTAAATGTACCTTCAGTTTAGCATCAGGGTTCAGGATCATCTGAGCTAAGTGAGCGATAGCTCCTGCATCCACTACTGTCTGTGCTAACTCTGGAGAATGCTTTGAAATATCACTGAGAGTTGAAGCAGCAATCCTTTTCAAAGCAATTTCTGGCTCCTGGATACAGAGCACTAAAAGAGGAACAGCGCCTGCATCCACCACAGCTTGTGACAGTTCTGTAGGTCCAAGGAAAGTAATTAAGTGAGTATGGGTGACTGACCCTTGTGCAAGCCATTTTTCACCCTGACAGATACAGCAAAGGAAAAAGGGGAGGGTGTAGTTCACTGTCTCGACATCTGCATTTCAAATCAGCCCTCCTGGTTTCATAAACCGTGTGGACCAATCCACAACTGAAAAGAATGCAGGTCAATAGATGGACCCCCATTTACATGCACACATTTGAGGTAGATTAGGCTGAAATGGTTTGTTATTCTGTTTTCTTTTTCTTTTTTTAAAGTAAGCAGATGTCAGCTGTTTAAACCCTGGCTATTCTACACTGATCAATAGGAAAGCATTTTATGCATGGCTAACAACAACACAGAAAGCCAAAGTACCAAAATTTTACCAACCACCTAATTAGAGAGCATTTTACCCTCTTTAAATGATAAGCAGATATTAGCATAGATCAAATGCCAAAAACAGAAATACAAAAAACATACATAAAAGATTTATCTTACATAAAAGACTGGAAAAATGGAACTTGCTGATCAAAACTAGGCTTTGCTACCATACATGGGACAAGACAGAATTTATACTTTAATGACATGAAAATGTTATCATACACAATTAGACAAATGAGAAATATCATCAGTGGGATATTGTGTGTCTGAGATCAGTACAATATCCTTAACTAACTGCACTTAAATAAAAAATAAAAAAAAAATCTGAGCATATGATTAGCTGACATGGACAAAAATTACACTATTAGAAATTCATTAGTTCTGTGTATGCAGCATTAATCACAATCCTAAAATAAGAATTACTGGATATCAGAAGCAAAATTTATACTATAACCAAGCAGTGCTATTTTAAAATAGTGTTGAAAAAGTGGTAAAAATCATGGGGGATTCAATAATCTATTAGGTTTTTAGTTCAGTTTTGCTACACCTTATTATGCATATCCATTATTATCTTTAACATTTATCTTGACTTATAGTACCATGGCAACATATGGCTGTTGTATTTCAAGACTCTAACTTAGCTTTTGATTTATAGTCCATCCATAAAGAGATTTTCATACTAAGAAAAATATAGCATACTTCATTAAATATACATAGACTAATACAGTTTTTCATGAAATCTGTAAGTCATGTCATCATTACGTTGTTAAGACCCAAATAATGTTCCCGACCAGATTTGTTTTCAATTAGTGAATTATAGCCACACACTCCAATACATGTGATGTCAAATATTTACACTGTATGTTATTTTATGATATAATATTTTAAAGAAATTATAAATATTACCTCACAAAATTATAATAAATAATGCAGTAATTTTTAAACTAATACAAAATTAACCCTTCAAGGTTCACTTTTCAAATAACTGTTTGACTGAAAATGTAGAGTGTGCATCCTCCAAATACACACACACCATAAGATTTCAACAAAACCCGAATGCTCTACCTTTAGTTTTACAACTTTGAAATGAAATGTACCTGAAACGTATCTGAAAACAAACCTGAAAACTAACTAATCAATATAAGTGGCATAAGCTACATTCAGCTTTTCATGGAAAAAGCCATACTTGATTTTTTCAAATTGTATTTTGATGCTGTACACTGACCAAGTGAAATACATGATGTGACCGACAATCCAGATTAATCCATCCGACTGTGCCTCAGAAGCAACTTCAGAGCAACCAACTCAATTGCCTACAGTCTGCTAGGAGATGCTAATACCAGGAAAATCATGTCAAGAAGGACAGGATACTACTAGAAGAATGGGTTTCTTTGATGCCTTGTGAGCTGAAATCATTAAGTTCAAGTAGGGAGAGAAAGAGCAATACTTTAAGGTCACAGCTACGCCCAGGCATGCAGAAGTAACCATAAAAGTTATTTTAAAAGAGGAAACTAAATCCGATTCAATTTAGATCAGCTCTTGCTGTTAGAAGGCTGCTATCATTTAAATACTGATGGTTACTGTTGGTCATGGTTAATTAAATGGTTGTTCTTCCAGTGGTGTTTATAAGGTTCATGGCTAATAACTTACCACATGGAGGGCTGGACCATGTGTCAAAAGACAGACAAGCAGTAAATGGACTGTCAGAAAAACAGGAAAGCTGAGGCAAGGACAAAAGAAAATATAGATCTTCCCATCACATTCCCCTGCAAACAGCCCCAAACTACAATTCTGAGTATTAATGATTCTATGATAATTGTAATTCTTTTTTTCTCAAAAAGAGGCTAAATCAACCTTCCCACTTGGTAGAACATCTTTAATTCAGACTATACACCAAAGGATTCATGAAACTTTGCCATCCAATTACAAAACATAGAGGTGAAAAAAAAATGAAGGCTGAGAAAGAGTTAAAGGACAAAATACAGTTGTCAAGAAGAAATTTCTAAAAACAAATATTCAGTCAAAGAAATTAAAATAGCTGGTACAAATTACAAAAAGACTTTTCTGAACACTATGCCAAGACTGCCCTATAAGGGCAAAGATAAGACCAATAGCTGAAGAAGAGAAAGACAGCAGGGAAAAACTGATTTATGAACATCATTTAATTCCACAGACAGTTACGAAAACCCTGGGCTTGGAACTTCAGTTCGGGGCACAGCTCAAGGAACCTATCCAACTACATGACGATAAAGTAGGACTTCTCCCTATGTGAGTGAAAGTAGGAAATGTTATTCTACATATGCTCAGAGACAAGAGAGCCAAGACTCAGAACCCACCATAAATTAGTTACTTTTGTCCAGAACAATATGAGGAAGATTTTAGCAAATGGAGATACTGCAGACATGAAGACAGACTGACATGGAGGTAGAAGAAAGACCGATAAAGACAGACATTGGAGTTTAAAATGTCACCAGTTCAACTAGAAGTTGTACTAGATTAGATTTGTCTCAATACAAAAGTAATCATCAGGGACTAAGAAATTAATTCAAACTAAGCTGAGGCCTAGTCATGGGTTTATGCGATCAGGAAGAGTGGAAAGTGAACAAAGAAGAGTCAGTAAGATCCTGACTACATACCCACTGAAATCAATGGGAAGTCTTACAGGATTGATCTAAACTGGTTTAAGGTGTTACCAAAAAAAAATCCATATTAATGTTAACATGTTGGCAATAATAGTATGGATTAAAAAAAAAAAGATTAGGGAGAAAAGATGAAGGTGAGAAAGTGAGTGTGCAGGTAGTCCCCAGAGAAGGAAAATCAGCTCTGAAAAAATGTCATATTCACATAGCAGAGCAGCAGCAAAACCTTCTTTGCTTGGAAGCAAATGCAAGTTTCAGACCAGACCAGGGTTCTCAAACAGACCTTGCTGTGGTGGCAGGTGCATCCACAGGAAATAACAGGTTTTATCCAAAACAACCACCAATACTGTATTTTTCTGAGGACTGTGTGATCATGTAATGGCCACATAGGAAGACTCTAATCCCCACAAGGAGTCCAAAGACTGCACTTCAAAATCACAGGTTTATGCAGACTGCTACAACCACAGAGCTAAAGATTCCACTGGAACCAGTGGGAAAACCTTTAATCAGGAGAAGGCTGGAGGTCATTAATTACAGGACAAGCTTATATCCTGGAATAAGACAAAGTTACTGCTAGACTCAAATCACTGAAGAGCTGAGGAACCTGGTCTAAGCTTGTAGCTGACCCTGCTTTGAGCAGGAAGCTGGACTAGAGACGTCCTGAGGTCCCTTCCAAGCTGAGCCACTGTATGACAGAAAATGAGCGTAATTCCACTCTCAGCAGTATGCTTGAGTATAAATAGTGTTTTTTATTTTTGTTTTCCTACCAATTTACAATATGCTGAAGCAGGTAAGAGATGATTAATAAATTACACCTTTTATGTAGGCAAAGCAAATGGAAAGCTAAGTTATTTGCATATCTCAAACATTAGAATTTTGCATTTTAAAAGTAATTGAATATAGTATAAGTAAGAATTTACAAAATACTTTTCATGGATCTGATGGTATTTTGATGGTATGCGGAACACTTTACACTTCTTTTCAAACACAAATAGTAGAAATAATGAATGGCAAAATTACAGCACACTGATCTGTATATTTTGGAGTAAGTTCCTAAATTTTGGAATCTGACCTGACAAGATTTCTAGTGTCTTGAAATCTCATGAGACATCTGTCTTGACCTAAAATCTCATAGGTCTTCTGGAGAGATCTGTTCACAGAAGAACTGCATTTTAAGAGACTGTTGTATGAAGACAGTAGGGAACTTGCTAACCAGAGTATGTTTTCATCGGGGGGAGAAGTCTTGATTTCTCAGATTGGAAGTATTTTCATGGGAACATACACCGCAGTTCCTAGAGAGCAGCTTTACCAGGTCATGGATGGAATTTCTGATTAAAAGCAGAGAGATACTCCCATTGCAAACAGTTATCGCCAAATGCTGGGAGCCTTTGCTTGCATTCAGGGAGACAGCGGTTCACATCCTGCCTAAGACAGATCAGGACTTCAATCTGTCTCCCACGTACATCCCAGACATATGCCCTAATTATTGAACTTTTCTTGCTGGGGCAAATAAGCCTCCCTACCCCCCCGTCTTTTCAGGGGAGAAAAAAAAATTGTTTTAATGTTGTCCCACTTTGGAACTGAAACAATTTTTGAAACTGAAAAACTTTTTGTGGGTGGGGAAAACCATTTCACACCCAACTATTTTTAGAGTTTAAGCTGCAATATGTGTTCACAGACAGTCGATGACAGAAAATCCTAACTGCCAAATTTTGTCAACACAAGCATGGGAGTCTAATCCAGCGTTTCTCAAACAGTAAACACCAGATGTTGGTAAGAACAGGTCCATCTATCTTTGTATCCCATCTCCAACAATATCCTGTTCCAAAGGCATGCTTGTAGGAGTATAAGAAACATACCATGCACAGAGTGATCTTTTTTCAGTATAACTCCTCTACTTTCAGTAATCATTTTAGAGACTTCCTGTGACTGTGTTATAGAGGAAGGTAAATCCCCCAAATTGGCTGTAGCCAAGCAGAACAACAACAATTTTTTTCAGGTTTTTGTTTTGTTCTGGTTTTTAACTGATTACATCTAGTGATCTGTCTATGTCCTGATGCTTGCAGCTTGGTAGCACTTAAAATTTCAACCTGATTTCTGAAAATGCTGTTAATATTGCTGGTGTAATTTGACATGAGACATGCACCCATTCACTGTCAGTGAATAAATAATTCATAACCATGGAATAAAAATTTGTACAAGGAATTTGGTGTGTTCGATACACTACACACATTTATACAAACAAACACTTTCAAATGACACTTAAGTATCTTTCAGACAGAAGCAACGATTATTTTCCACCAAGGGTGGGATTCAGACCTGGTGACCAAGAAGATCTTTACCACAGAGGTGCTCCAAGAATTAATTTGTTCTCCAGAAAAAGCAGTCTGTTAGGAAGATGCTGACAACTTTGGAGTCTGTCCCAGTAAGTTAACCCTCTCTCTAAGTGGGAAGGGGAAATCTCCCATACCTTCCACAGTCCAACACTCCATATCAATTAAAAAAAGAAAGAAAATCACTTCCAAACTCAGTCTATGTACATTTTAGAGCCAAAACCAAACATAAATGCATGAGTTAATGTTATGATCCTAGAATAAGTTTAACTTTAAACAATATGAACACAAGCGATTTCTCCCACCCTTTCCAGCCAGCAGTTTCTTCCCTCAGTTCTTTGATTCATAGCTCTAAACTTTTACTTGAACTATATAAATAGCTGCTAAAAGAATTATCAACCACGTGGATCAGCTTTTAAATAGGAACATGACACTGCCAGTGAGTTATACAACTGCTTGTGAGACAGCAGTGAACTGCTCGATATCGGATTCCTAGGATCTATTCCTGACTCTCAGAAAATAGTGTGGTCTGCTGGCTAATGATAATATAGTCAGTGCAATGAATTTGGCACATTTATCCTGCAGGCACTGCTGTAAGCTGAATGAAACTTGGTTCTGCCTAGGTTTCTCCATTTTACTATGTATATAAAATAAGAACTAATGTCAAGCAAAAAAACTTTGTTCCACAGCAACAGTTACACAATACATAAAGATTCTGAAATTTCTTCACGATGGAGAATAAAGCAGAGTGTTTTTTCCTGGCCACAGGCCTAATGCATCTCTTCTTAGAGCACCTCTCGTAACTGGGCACTGCTGGTGTCAGATATGCCAGTTTCCCACAACAGGTACAGCATTGTCAGAAGGGTATAGTTAGAGTAGGTTTTTATTCCAAATTTAAAATTTTATAACAGAGAAGAAACAGCATCTTGTTCTATTTATGAACATTACAATAATGCAATTTATTGTAACTGTCACATAGCATTAAGCTGAAAGATAACACCTGTGAAACCTGTTACCTGAATTGTGTCGGGCAATATACCCAAGTGCCCAAGATGCAGCTTCTTTGACTCCAGGGTCAAAATCTTCCAAGCAAATCACAAGCATTTCCAGTGCTCCACACTGAACTACTGCCTGAGCTAGCTGTGGAGAATGTTTACCAACTGCTCTTAGCACAAATGCAGCTGCTTTCTTGTAGAAACGCTATACAAATCAGGAGAAAAGAAAAAAAAAACAGCTTTTACTAACATTAAGTAGTTCAAAGCATAATACAGTACAGACATCCATAAATTAGACTTTTTTAGTAGCAGCAGTCTCTCATACAGATCCAGATCAGGACCACCAGACATCACAGAAACAATGAACTTACAGACCTTCTCTGAGACAGCTCATGATATAAAATTTGCAGTAAGTGCATAAACAAACAGGAAAAAAATGAGAGGGCTAAGAGGATATGGGGAAAAGATAATAATCTAGATAAGTCTGTTTAAGCGAGTAGTGAATGATAAGAGCTGCAAAACCAATAGCTCTTAACATATTTAACCATATTACATAGGTTATGCAGGGCAAGCTCCTAAAATAATTCTACCCATCTCTGACACTTGCAATATTTCACAATTTCTAATGTATACACCCTCACAATATCTCTATGAGAACACATTGTTTACACTTACAAACAGGAAACTGAGACACAGAATTAGATCCAACAGAAGGTTTTAGGATCTGAATCCTGAAATGCCTAAATACTGCCTAAGCCCACAGCTAAGATCCTGAAAACCCACCCCACCAAACACCCAACACTGAATGACCCTCGGTTTTGACCAGGCAGCCTGCAGTTTTACCCCTGCATGTGCCCAGAAACAGCTCACTTTCAACAGGACTAAGCACCTTGGCACTTCTGCCACAAGTTCAAGCAAAATCCAAGCACTTGTGTCAGTTCTACCCATCTCCCTCAGTGCTGGGCCAAATACATGTTTTGAGCATATATATATAACATATGATGCTGCACACATCATGGGGTTCCATGTAAAGTGCAGTGGTGGTTGCAGTTTCTTCTAAAGGCACAGTTAAAAGTCTTCCCCTCAAAAGTCACCTTTGAGTCTCCTCCTGCAGTTTCGTAAGTATCATTGGGATGTGAAAGCTGAAGATTAAATTTCTTCCTCTGCCTTACAGTTTCAAAATTCAGAGCCCAGTTAAAGTACTCTGGCCAGAGACAACCGAGTTGTGAGAAAGACAGTTCTTCTCTCTCATGAAGCAGTAATGAGTGCAAGATTCCTTGGGACACAAGTAATGTACTGCTACATCCACGTGCCCAGAGTATGCTGTCCAGCCTGGCAGTTGACAGACCATCCATCCCTACGGACAAGCTCTAGAGGGCTCTCTCTCCGTGTGCCAGCTGGCTTTAATCTCATTCCAAGATGCTTGATTCTCCCCTGCTCTGTACAGGGAGCCTGGGCACTTTACAGTGCTAGCTTCCTACTGTCAAGGTACCCAAAACTTAATGCAAAGCCCACATCCCTTTTGGATCACGTCCAGAGAAACAAAGAACCACGTGAGTGCTTTTGTGCATCCTGTAAGGCGCAACCAAACACCTTCAAAAGTCTGATCTAAAGCACTAAGGTATGGCAATAGAGGAGTATCTGCAACGGCTTCACAGGAAATAAAATGGACCCAGGCCCACTCCCTGGCCCTGAAGGAAAGTGACACTGCACACCACGTCCATCCACTTAAACTCCTCATCCCTCAAAGCACAATGGCCTCATCTATACTATTGGAAACCATCCCCACCTTGTGCTATCACCTAAACCATGTGCAGGAATTGATGGTTGGCATTAGCTAAAACCACACCACAGAGCACGTTAACAATCAAAGAGCACAGTCATCTTCCAGTGCTCAAATGCATGCCCTGACCCTCCTTAGTTTACCGGTACTGATATAATTCCTTAATGCCAAAAATCCAGTCTTCTAAGTTAAGGCCTACAAGCAAGTACATTAAACATAATTTACAAGCAAAGCATTAAACATCATTTAGGGGGAACAAAAGTTAAGGGAAAGTACAGACAAATAGTCAAATCCCTAGGTAATGTAAGTCACCGTTAAGTTCTGCTGAACCCAATGGAGCTATAGCTGTTCACACCAGTCTATGTCTGTGCAAATATGGGTATGTTATTTCTGTTAAGTAATTATGCTCCTGGCAAAGAAAAACATTTCTTTGTTTTTATTATTCAAAACACATTTATTTACAAACCATATTCACAGGCACAGTCAGAACACACTGTAAAACCGTGTTTTGCTCAGTTTAATTGACAAAACATTGATCTGGGATGTGACCCTGTATCTGTTCTCCATAAATCAGTAGAATCAGTATTTATTGTGTGCTCAAAGAATCTGCTCCTTAAAATAGATTTTGATACATGAAGAGTGAGTGGAATGGAAATGTATCTGGGTGGGGTTTTTTTTGCCTATGGGAAGTAACAAACTGCACGCATTGCTAAACTCTGCATGAACTGGATAATGAGTTTCCTTCACTTGCCCTCAGTCACCAAGGCATAGTAGGCTTTCCATGACCTCACACTAATCTTGCTGCTGCCCCAAGTGATTCTGAATTACAGCCATCTCAATGTAACGACAGCATGGGCAGTAACATGGAAGAGATAAATCAGGGTACTCAAGCTAATTTAGTGAGGGCTTTCAGTTGTAGCAGGGGGGTAGTTTCCAAACCAAAAGAGAGGATAACGTTTTGTTCCACTTCTTCCCTTAAAAATAGAAATAAAAGGACCAAAATGGTTATAAACTTGTCTAACTAAAACCTTAACTTTCTTTCCATACTATACCAGTATCTCGACATCAAGGTTTTTCTTTAGCTTTTCTTTATTTTTTTTTTTTTTTTAAGATTAATTGTATAGGCAATGACCTATATGCACAAAAAAATATGCAGTGAGTACTTACATTTATGTTTTCCTCAAAAGATTGCAAATTAAAATATATAGTTTTCCAAAACATATTTCCATTGAAATCCTACTTCTCCTAAATCTAATAAATCAAAACTGCAACCCAAGTATGGCTGTGATATCAATGCATTTAACTCTCAGCTGTCTCTTTCTTTTTCCAGTTATTAGGAACCTTATTTAAAAGTATTTCTGTTAATCTAGGTTAGGATCACTGGAAAATCAAAGCTGGAATATATGCAAAACTTGAGGAAAAATGGTGAGAAGGGAGAAAAAGAGACCACCAGATTTATTCTCATTGCAACTGTGACTACACATCGTTTGGTTTTGACAACTACAAAGATGAAAACCTTTCAGTGTATTTTCCTGTGCCAGTGGTTTGATATTTCTCATGCTACAGATTTCCAAAAGGCTATGTATGGAGATATTTAATATTTCATTACACAAGTTCAGGGGGGTTTATATGTATTTTTTAAGTGTTTGGTAGTATCGACAAATCCTAGTCAGTTATCACCACAGCTTTCAAATTGTCTCATTTTTAAAGAGGGACTTTTATAAAGTATCACTCAACATTTTAAAAACATAACAGTGCCATGAATATATTTCCTATAGTGCACTAAAAGGTAAAATGATATTTTAAAGTAAAGTTTATTTGAAGTAAAACTTAGGTATACAGTACACATTGATCTCTCGGGGGTTCAAAACATACATGCTCTCTCTGACTTCACTACATTTACTGCTATATTAGAATAACAGCAGATAGCTGATACAGAAAGATTTCCCTTTCCCTGTGCAATAGTTTAAAAAAACGATTACTTAAGAAAACAATGGTGGCTTACATTCTGCTCAGACAATGAACACAAGAGCTGTGGAAGAATGTCTCCCTTCACGACTGCCTCTGCCAGGTCATCGTTATAATTGGCAAGTCTCCCAAGAGCCAAAGCAGCAGTCTGTTGAATAGTTGGGACGACATCCAGCAAAAGAGGTCTCAGCAAAGACATTACACCTGAGTTACATCAGGAAGAGAAAAGCCCATTTGGTAAGCAGAAATTTTCTAAACATTTGCCTTTATTCATAAAAACCTATTAAATTACTCTTCCAGGCAGTAAGAACTTGTAGGAAATCCAGGTGTCCCACTGAAATGAAGTCAGCACTTGCTATGTGTCAGCAGTGCTATCCAATGTTTCTGCTCATTTTTCATAGGTACAAAACACTTCTGAAATATAAAAAAAAAGTCACATGTAGAAATAAGCCATATTCAAACATCTATAAAATACATGTCTTAAAGTATACACAAGAAAATAAGGTAGATTCAAACATATATAAAACGCATGTGTTAAAGTACGCACAGGAAACTCCATCTGGAGGTCCTGGTGAGCTGACATTGTCATGTCACTCATTCAGCATGCCAGCAGAACCTCTACGTTGAATTACACCAAATCATTTTTCATCTATTACAAGCAATGATGGATTTGGGGACCAATATCCATAACAGATTACACTCCAGATAGAAAAGTTGAAGATTTTCTTATCATGTTATTATTTATGACGTGTTTTCACTGATGAGTCATCCACAGTGTATCAGTTAAACGTGAAAGAACATGAAAGTCCATTCTCTAAGGTGGTCTTATAATACATCCTTGAAATTATAGCTGAGGTGAGCTGCCGTGATATGAACCATTTGCAGTTACAGCCTAAGAAAGTCCTTACAATGGACAAACATCTGGCTAAAAATAGGAAGTGGGAGGAGTAAGCTTTCCATAGGTCACAGTGCAGTTCTGCAGGCCTCCGTGCTGGGATGTGCCGTTCAGTATTCATCTATGATCTGGAACAGCATGAACAGATAGGTGAGACTTTGCTGGTGCCTCAAAGTTATTCAAGGTAGTACCAGTGAGGGAAACAAGGAACTAGAGACTGAATTACTGGATAACAAAATGGCAAGCGAAACAGAGCACATACGGGGTAGCCAGTCCCAACCTCACACATGCAGTGATGGACCCCAGACAGATCACTACCACCCAGGAGAAAGATCTTGATGTTAGAATAGATAGTACCATGGAGATACGAGCTCACTGTTCGGTAGCAGAAAATAAACTTTACCCACAGAAGTATGCTCTGCTCAGGAGTATTTGGAAAGGAATAGAGACCAAAGCGGAGACCATCACTATGCTATTGTATAAAACTATCCTACATGTAATAACCTCCCCTAGAGCAGAACTGAAAAAGGTTGAATGAAAGGCAACAAGGATGATCAAAGACGACCACTCTGTATGTGGAAAGTCTTCCTACAGTCAAGCTAAGACTCTTCAATAGGGATATAAATGAAATCCACGTGGTTACATAAAAAATATGATTTGTAGGTCTGGGAAGGTCAATACTCCAGACAGAAGCTGCACTGCCATGAGAGAAATGGCCTCCCAGGGTGTTCACAAGTCAAAATAACACAGGTCTCGGGGGCACACAGTAAAAGGAGAAAAGTCATATGAAATTGTGATGTCTAATACCACTACAGAAGCACCAAAAATGGCGCTGTAACATGCACTAATTGAAACATGTACATGTAGAACCTATGGAAATAGGTCTGTAGTATAGTTGGGGCCTGCTCACACTTCTGTCAAAGCCACTGGGAGCTGAAAGAGGCCTCCTGTGTACCAGCAGACAAAAGCTAGATCCTCCAGTATTGTAAGATCAATGTGAATTCGTTTAGCACTTTGCAGAAATCACTACTTCAGAATGTGGTCATCATATTGACATCTTCTCACAAACTCTCCCAAATAGCAGGTATGGTCTCATTAGCAAGTTACGCTTCACATCAAAACGCACCAAGTACTTTATATCACAAATTAAAAGTAAAAACAAAATTACATTTGAGCCCTTAACTTGAGATAATATGAAAACAAGATAAGTTTAATAAATTTTAAAAAGAAAAAAAAAAAAGAAAATTATTAGTTTTACTGATATAAAAGAGACCGTTAGAAGTGGTTGGGGGAGAGGGAAAGGAACACTTCAGTGTGCAGTGTCCTGACCCTAGAAAAGCCAAAGGCCTCATGGGTGGGACATTCAACCAGGATGTGGCAAACAGTTCAATTCTGGTGATGGTCTCAAAATCCAGTGAAATTTAAACAGACTAGATTCACTTTACCCAAGAGGAACCCATAAGCTAGATCCAGACCATGTGACATGTTTCTGGCCTGCATGACATACCTAGACACTGCAAAATGTAAAACCACATTTAAGAAAGTTTACTTATACATATGCTTTGAGTTGTCCCAAATATGAGAGATTTTATATAATTTGTATTTGCAAGATTAGCTGATACAGATTTCACTTTTAGAATAGGCTAGAAAGCCTTGAGCCTGAAAATGCTTCCAAGCAGCATGCCTCCCCATGACCAATACCATTCATTTCGTGGTAGTATAAACCATGTAAAGCTTGGTGATGACAGCAATGTGTCAGCACAGAACTTTCTACTGCGAATTATTTTAGCTGATGAAACTGAAGGTGAGGAAAGAGACGAAAAGTGAAATGGGAGTTACTGTTTGAAGAGAGGACACAAGATGCTAAAATAGGGTTGAAAAAAAAAAAAACAGTGAATGGATGGAAAACATTTAGAAATAATAGAAAGTGTGCTGATCCTCAAGGAGACTGTATTTTCCCAAAGTGATGTCTGAATGTGAGAAAAGATAGTGAACAAATAATTATCATGACAAGAGCTTTGGAGGAACAAGAAAAAGAAAAATCAATTCCTGTTGCTGTACAAACCTTATATTGACATCAAATTAACTGAGAATTGAGAGACGTGTATAGGCCTAGATTATGCCTGTGCATTGAACATAATTAAAAGCTTCTACCTCTACTTCCTGCCTTCTCTAAAACCAGTTTCTTTCTCTGCATCGAGATGCTATCCATCATCTTTGACTACTCTGCAAGACCAACTGCTCAAAGAGTTTTCACCATTGTCATGATTTTTACATCTTCAGCAAACCAAGTATTTCTTTCTTTACAGCACTTAGAAAAAAATAATTAATTCTGAGAGCTTGAAAACAGCTACATAGAGATTATATGGTCTCCACTAAAACACCTGTAGGAAAACCAAGATGTCCACCTTTCCTTCTATGACTTTTGAAGATAGTGCTGGAAAGGACAGATGTGCCTTACACAGGAGGAGGCTCTTGGGCCCAACCCAGCTCTTTCTCCCAGAGACAGCTGTATTTGATGAGCTCCTCTATTTGATCTCTTCTTTTCTTTTGACTGTCCTGTCTACAGCAAAGTCTACCCCTCTTCTCCAAAGAGGTCCAAGCCAGGATTCCTATCAGCATTTTGAATTAAATTCAAATGTATTTCACATTATCTTAGAGCAGGAAAATAGGTAAGAACCTTCTAAAAACTTCCTTTTACCTCTACCATTCAGTCAAATGAACAGGGCCATACAGAGAGCAGGGAGCAGTAGTGTCTTGCTGAAGAAAACTTTAGGAGAACTCTGTGGTTGCCTTCTAAGTAAGTCTGTTGTGACAGAAGTAGGAAATTCATTAACTCTAATTCAAAGGCAGCAACACAGAAAGTAAACTACAAAATAAGGCATTTAGACCATTGGACTAGATTTGTTTTGGAAGACTTCCCACTAGAAACTTGGAAACAGGGTAACAAAGAATTACTGCCAAATATTCTCACTTGCATCACAGAACCTTGACTGACCTTGGGCAAGGAATGACTCCCCTTTCTATCCTCAGTTTCCCACTCAGATTTGTTTCAAAGAATGACACACTTTAGAAGCTGAATCGCCCTTAACACACACCTCTCAAGTGGAGCTGTTGTGCACAGGCCTGATGCACTTTCTTTTAGCAAGCAAGCGCTGGCTCCTGCCTATCTGGAAAAAACAACCACTCAGGGCAGCAGCAGGTTCCAAGTTTTTTCATTCCAAGTTTCTGCAGCCAAACAAACAGTCCCTATTCTGGAGATAGCAATCTTCATTTGGTCATTTTGATTTCTTGGGGAAGACCACCTGGAAGTCATACAGAATTCCTCTACTCTCCTCCCACCCCCGCCAAACCCTTGTCAAACTTGACTAGTCACAAGTCAGAGAAACATCACTCTACATTTGAAATTCTCTCCATTTCTGCACCTGAAGATGACCACTTCTGCCCTATTCTCCTTCCTTAAAACCAAAATTTATTTCCATTTTAAAATGTAAATGTGGAAAAAAGTAATTCTATGCTAGTGTTGTCTCTGGACAGATGCTGTCTGGATTTATGCTTTGGATCAAATATAATGTTGTCTTCTCATTTTTGTGTGCTACCTGTTACACTAAGAGCATTCAATAAGCTAACGTTAGCACTCAAACATTCATCATATCACCTTGATTTTTCAGGGCTCCTGATGTTAAATCAGCTGAATTTGACAAGGAAATAAACTGGAAATTTATTGCTGCCTCACCACAACTCCCTATCTTCAACTACCCTTTCCTAGAAGCAGCATAGCAGCGAGTCTTAAGTAGGAAACTTAAAACAAATTTCCCAGAAGAATGGTGAGAGAGAACTTTCACACTCACTCATTTTGACACAGCCTCTTCAAAACAATGCAGTACGCACGTCTCAAGTACGTGGTCCTCAAGTGTGACTCACCCCAAGAAAGGGCTCCTCACCGTGACAGTTCCATGCACAACACAACTACAATCCTTCAAATATCAAAGGGAACATAAATACAGTTTGGTAACAGAGACTCTGGGTAATCAAGTAATTCGTACAGCAATTACCAGATGGTGTGGGACATAATGCAGATTCAGTCTGACAGCAGGGCTGGAAATTTCTGAAGGATCGAGGAGCAGTAAGTTTCTCCTCCTTAAAAGCTGATCTGGCTGAACATTTCCCAGACCCTGTTTCTGCATTAATGGAGCAGAACTAATCCTGTTCCAAGAGGACTGAGGTTCTGAAAATGCCCCTCACGGGGCTAGTTAGTGGCCACCACACAATCCTTCAGACACACCAAAACCAAGGTGGTCACAAGGTGC